GGTTTTAAGAGTTTAAACTACAAACACAGTACCGGTTTGTCACATGAAATTACCTGAGCAGAAAACAATGAGTAGCCTTCAAACAATGTATCATGCACCGGCACCATCTACTTAAAATATGCAAACGAATGCAAAACCGTGGAAATCGGTTCGTTCGTTCTGGAGTTATAGTGTCAGGAAGGAAAACCGGACTTATTTTTATATAGTAGATTTAGGACTTGCGAGTATTAATTTCAATGAAAGTAATATTTTCGGAATACTTCGCGTATTTTTTTATTTTTATAAACACCACACTCCCGACAACTCGTCTGCCTTAATCATGGTTGCTGACAAGTAGACGAAACGTCGGGTGTATATATAATAGTTTTTTAAATAATAAAATACTCGACACAATCCGAAAATATTAGTTTCATTTGTTTATATAGTACTTACAGTTGTATTATTCACCGAGACGTACGAATCTCAGCACACATCTCGTACATTTAATCTCCAGCTCCTTGTCCTGGTGTTGTTTGAGATGGTCCATGTAGAGGAGCACGTTAGCCGTCAGCTCACAGCCTTCAGCGTTCACTGGAATCATCTGAAGACAGATATACGATGATTTTAATTTCTTCTACGTAGTATACTATTTGATGTGACCTCTTAAAGTTAATATTGAAACTGAAATAAATGAATTCCTCCTTACGAAACGCATGTTTATTTAAGCTGTTTTTAAATTACTTTATAAGTTTTGAATAAAGAGCAAATATGTTCTATAAAATTGTTATTAAGACTTGAAAATTTTATTTTGATTTTATGTGACATGAAAATTTGGTTTATTTTGTTAAAACTAGGCACTATTTAAGCTTATTGAGCTATCGTGCCTCGCGCCTGAGCGGCAAATGTCATAATATATTAAAATATAATCGCAAAACAGTATGAGTAATCACTAGTAGTTACTCACAGGCTCTACTTTATCAGCAGGTTTTGGTTCTTCCCTGACGGTGTTGGCTCGTGCTAGTTCCTCAGTTAAGTACGCGCTTGTGTGTTGTGTCACGAGGAGATGAGATAGAATGTCCGTGCCTGGAGTAATATTATATTAGAACAACAAAGTTTTTCATACAGAATTGCAAATATTTACGAACTGTATACAATTGTTGCGTCGTGAAAATAAAATCTGTTAATACTACATACTTGTTTAATTTAACGGTGCCGTCTGGGGATTAAAATATTAATATTTTATTAGTTACTATAGTCATTGGGTATTTGTATATTTTATATTGATTTATTATATATGCTGCTGGTCTAACAGTTACATAGTTAGTTATAAAATTTATAAAAGAAAATGAAAATATATTGTATTGATTGATATCCTATAACCAGTGTAAACTGACTTATGTCTGTAGAGAATTCGCAGACGCAGTATAGCATGGGAGCGGGTCTAGGAGCGGCCTCCAGTGAAAGTGAGCGGGCGCAATATCCACTGTGTCCCAACATCGCTCGGTAACATGATGTAGCATATGGACACTTGCTGCGCGACGTGCGACCGCTGTATATTGAGAATATTAAAATTATACTTTAGTATGTTTTAAATATTTGGTATATTATTTATCTAATCTTTCTTCATTAGAAAATATAGAAATATTAAAATAATTATATCACAATATAATAAGGGCTACTAAAATATTTTTTTTTTCTAAAAGTTAATGAGTGTTTTCAACACGATAAAGGAAAAACTACGTCTATTTACTGACATTCAATAAATCTGATTGTATTCAATGTTTGTGGCGTCGTTTTATCAAGTGATTATACTAACAGGAAGTGTTTGTCACTGTCAAGCGGCGTGTCACACTCGCGACACAGAAGACCCTCTTGTATGACCAACGTGACACCTTCATACGTGTCGCTGATGGCGTGACACGCGACGTCCTTGATAGGAGGGCGGGCTTTGTTCTGAAAATAATATATTATTATATTATTGCAGTTTGTTAATTGTAGATAAATAAGTAGCAGTATATACAAGTAGCAGTAGAGTTATATGACGTACATACCTTGGGCAGGTTAATCAAGTGCTCAGTAGAACACAGAGGTAGAACCTCCTCAAACGGGTTGTGGTCTCGAATCTGATGCTCTTTCAGTTGACCTGAAAAATATTCTACGTATTAATGTGTGTATTGAACTCATTTTATTGTAAATTAAACTTATATTTTTCGGATATACTACGCACGCTACTTGATTTTTGATAAAAACTACATACTCCCGACCTTTCGGCTACTTTTCAGCAACCGTGATCACGGGCAGACGAGATGTGAGCGTTTATTTATATTGTATAATGAGACTAGTAAACCCGGCGGACTCCGTTTCGCCACCAGGCTTCGTTTTATGTAACATTTCGTTTGGTGATTAAAAGATGAAGAATTTTTTATTGTTTTATATTTGAAAAGGAAAATTTTAATTTCGTTTCACAACAGTAATGAATTCATTTCGATTACAGAAATGTAGTGTTATTTAGTTGAACTTCTCTAAGTAAATAAAAGTGAATCCAACGTAGATACCGAATCGAAGCGTTATACGTGTCAGCAAATTATCCGTTTCATTGAAGTGGTCCTTTGTAAACCACATTTTTTGTTTTTTGGTCTAACGTTAACACAAATAAAGCGGATGGTTTCCGAACTCCTGAACACGCAAAGTATAACTGCCCATGTGAAAAACAATGATTTTCTAAATTTATCCCGCAAATACTAAATGGTTTTAAGAGTCTAAACTACAAACACAATACCGGTTTGTCACATGAAATTACCTGAGCAGAAAACAATGAGTAGCCTTCAAACAATGTATCATGCACCGGCACCATCTACTTAAAATATGCAAACGAATGCAAAACCGTGGAAATCGGTTCGTTCGTTCTGGAGTTATAGCGTCAGGAAGGAAAACCGGACTTATTTTTATATAGTAGATTTAAGACTTGCGAGTATTAATTTCAATGAAAGTAATATTTTCGGAATACTTCGCGTATTTTTTTTATTTTTATAAACACCACACTCCCGACAACTCGTCTGCCTTAATCATGGTTGCTGACAAGTAACCGAAACGTCGGGTGTATATATAATAGTTTTTTAAATAATAAAATACTCGAAACAATCCGAAAATATTAGTTTCATCTGTTTATATAGTACTTACAGTTGTATTATTCACCGAGACGTACGAATCTCAGCACACATCTCGTACATTTAATCTCCAGCTCCTTGTCCTGGTGTTGTTTGAGATGGTCCATGTAGAGGAGCACGTTAGCCGTCAGCTCACAGCCTTCAGCGTTCACTGGAATCATCTGAAGACAGATATACGATGATTTTAATTTCTTCTACGTAGTATACTATTTGATGTGACCTCTTAAAATTAATATTGAAACTGAAATAAATGAATTCCTCCTTACGAAACGCATGTTTATTTAAGCTGTTTTTAAATTACTTTATAAGTTTTGAATAAAGAGCAAATATGTTCTATAAAATTGTTATTAAGACTTGAAAATTTTATTTTGATTTTATGTGACATGAAAATTTGGTTTATTTTGTTAAAACTAGGCACTATTTAAGCTTATTGAGCTATCGTGCCTCGCGCCTGAGCGGCAAATGTCATAATATATTAAAATATAATCGCAAAACAGTATGAGTAATCACTAGTAGTTACTCACAGGCTCTACTTCATCAGCAGGTTTTGGTTCTTCCCTGACGGTGTTGGCTCGTGCTAGTTCCTCAGTTAAGTACGCGCTTGTGTGTTGTGTCACGAGGAGATGAGATAGAATGTCCGTGCCTGGAGTAATATTATATTAGAACAACAAAGTTTTTCATACAGAATTGCAAATATTTACGAACTGTATACAATTTTTGCGTCGTGAAAATAAAATCTGTTAATACTACATACTTGTTTAATTTAACCGTTCCGTCTGGGGATTAAAATATTAATATTTTATTAGTTACTATAGTCATTGGGTATGTGTATATTTTATATTGATTTATTATATATGCTGCTGGTCTAACAGTTACATAGTTAGTTATAAAATTTATAAAAGAAAATGAAAATATATTGTATTGATTGATATCCTATAACCAGTGTAAACTGACTTATGTCTGTAGAGTATTCGCAGACGCAGTATAGCATGGGAGCGGGTCTAGGAGCGGCCTCCAGTGAAAGTGAGCGGGCGCAATATCCACTGTGTCCCAACATCGCTCGGTAACATGATGTAGCATATGGACACTTGCTGCGCGACGTGCGACCGCTGTATATTGAGAATATTAAAATTATACTTTAGTATGTATTAAATATTTGGTATATTATTTATCTAATCTTTCTTCATTAGAAAATATAGAAATATTAAAATAATTATATCACAATATAATAAGGGCTACTAAAATATTTTTTTTTTTTGTAAAAGTTAATGAGTGTTTTCAACACGATAAAGGAAAAACTACGTCTCCGGCGTCGGGACGTGACGACCCCATCGCCCACCGGGTAACCGGTGCAGTCAGTCACAGGGGGGGGGGGACTCACTCCTGCTCTATCGATATATTCGATAGGCGAGGACGTGACCACACCGGCTTAGGTGCAGGCGCATCTGAGCTGGCTTTGTTTGCTTCTTTATTAGATAAAGAGCAAACCTTTCGACAGGTCCGCTGAGTCGGGTTGGCCGGACAGCGGACGGAGGCATGCCCTAATGCCACTGTCGGGGGGCTTGGCTTAACTGCCCGGCCCCAGAGGAAGGACACCTCTTAGATAAAAAACCACCCAATCCCAAGTTTCGGGAGCGTGGCGAGGGGATGAATGGCCGTTGAGCAAACGGTCGTTAACGCTCCCACCTGCTGGTACCTGCCGCCCCCAGCAGTAAGTAGGCTTACCCGGGTATTTAAGCCTCTGCCCGGGGTCGACCTATTTTGCTTTATACTCGTGGGACTAAAATGGATAGTTCTTTAAATAAAACAAATACAAAACCTGACGTAGTGGATGATAACGTACCATTGGTACGAATGGAGCGAACGGGCGAGCTGTTGGATTCCGACAGCGCGTCAAGTCATATGAGCGTGGCGAGCGTTAATTCAAAACGCGTGCGAAAACGCACTAGGGATTGTGCAGACTCAGGGTCAGAACCGGTGTTAAGTGACTCAGTCATGCCGCCCCCCAAAGTCGGTGCCAAAAAAGGAGGAAGAGGTAGGCCTGCCACTACCGGCAAATATGTCGGTATCGGCCTATCCAGGCGTGAGGCTGCGGCTGCAATGAAGGCCGCAGCAGCCGCCGAGAAATTAGAGGAGGATGAGCGACAGATTGCGGCTCTGACGAAAAGAGTGGTTGAAGGGAGAGTCACTCGTCTATCGCAGTCGTCGTCCGCCGTCTCAAATATAGATGTAGAGGCAGAAGATTTACCGGCCTCCGATCTTAATCAAAGATTGTCCGACGCGGTTGCAGCTATAAAAAGAGTGAGCAGGGTCTCCAAGGGCCTTAGCGGTTGCAGCCAGAAAGCACTAAAAGAGGCCACGGCCTCAATTCTGGAAAGTGCTCAGGTGCTATTAACTCGCACCACAACAGAAGAGACGGCGCTGCTGCGGGCCCAGAATGCAAAGCTCGTAGCGCAAATGGCGGAGCTCCGGAAGGAGCACGATGAGCTCAAGGAAGAGATGAAAAACTTTTCGCCGCGAGCAGCTTAGGAAGGAAGTGGGCCTTCCGTCCACAGTACCGCTACCGCAGTCGCAGTCACAGCCGTCGAAGCAGCAGTCATCTCAGGAGACGGAGTTACTTCGCCTGATCCGTCAGGAGATGGCAAGTTTTAACGCGCGCTTCTCAGTGCTTGAGGGGAGAATTCTACGTCCCCCCATAGCTGCAGACCAACACAGTAGACCAGCGACGATAAATGTGGAGGAAACCGTAGCAGCCCAAAAATCGACGGTCCCAACTGCTACTTCGCAAAAGGAAACTGCGGGGCCTAAATCCAAAAAGCAGTTAAAAAAAGCGGCTAAACTGGCCAAAAAGGCAGATGACACTCCTATTTCGCGTGCACAAACTGCTGAGTCAGGAGCGTGTGAACCCGCCACTAGAGCTGAGGCGGAGTGGACAGTTGTGGGCGCCGCCCAAAAAAGTAAAGCGGCTCGCCAGCGGGCCAAAAAGCAAGCCCAGAAGAAACAAGAGGCCGCCAAGTCCCAGACGGTGAAGCTCAGCACCCCCCGTTCTACAGCAGTAGTCCTCACCCTAAAACCAGGGGCGGAGGAGCTTGGTCTCACATATGCCGGGATCCTGGCAAAGGCGAAAGCGGAGATCTCGCTTAGTGATCTCGGTATAACAGGTCTCCGATGCAAAACGACTGCTACCGGCGGTCGCCTACTGGAGATATCAGGATCTTCTAGCGGTGACAAAGCAGATGCCCTCGCCGACAGACTCAGGGCATCTCTAGGCCCGGATGATGTAAAAGTGTCCAGGCCAACTAAGTGCGCAGATTTGCGCATTTCGGGCCTGGATGATTCCGTCACAAAAGAAGAGGTCATTGCTGCCGTCTCCAAGGTGGGCGAGTGTCCGCCGGATCAAATTAAGGCAGGCACGATAAGCCGGGGTGTCTCTGGTCTCGGGACTATTTTTGTCAGCTGTCCCGTAACGTCGGCCAAAAAGATAAAAGACAAACGGCTTCTGATTGGATGGGTCTCGGCGCAAGTCAAGCTCCTAGCTCCAAAGCCCTATCGGTGCTACCGCTGCTTAGAAGAAGGACATGCGGGGGCACGGTGTACCGCTGGGGTAGACCGCAGTCAAATATGCTTCCGCTGTGGTCAGCTTGGTCACAAAGCTGGCACTTGCACTGCCACGCCGCACTGCGTCCTCTGTGCGGCATCTGGCAAGTCCGCTGAACATCGGATCGGATCAAAGGACTGTGCTAGGCCCAAGAAGAGCAATGTTAGGATTCAGTCGGCTCATCCGCCGACTAAAACCACAGACAAGACAAAGAAGGCAACCAGCTCCTCGCAGCCGGTTCACCAGCCGGTTGTGACAGTACACCCGGAGAGGACCAGGGAGGACACAACGACCATGGACACACAATAATGGCCCTACGTCGTTTCCTTCAAGCTAACATAAACCACTGCGCCAGAGCTCAGGATCTCTTGCTCCAAAGCATGGCGCAGTGGTCGATCGATATGGCAGTTATCGCCGAACCATATTTTGTGCCACCCAGGGATGACTGGGTGTGTGATACAAACCGCTCGGTGGCGCTGATTATGAGGACGGACGCCGACACCCTTCCTTTCGAGGCCGTCACCCGAGGGCGAGGTTACGTCGCAGCAATATGGCAAAAAATTATGGTTGTGGGTGTGTACTTTGCCCCCAGTTATTCTCTTGCTGATATGGAGGATATAATCCTGGAGTTAGGCGCGGAAATCAGTCGTAGCCGTCCTCGTCCCGTGATTGTCCTGGGGGACTTCAATGCCAAATCTACGGCTTGGGGTTCTCCAGTAACAAATGCGCGGGGTGAGTTAGTGGAAGAGTGGTCGGTCGAGCAGGGCCTGATTCTCCTGAACCAGGGTTCCGTGCAGACCTGCGTGCGACAGCGGGGTGGGTCTATAGTAGATCTGTCGTTCGCTAGCCCTGATCTCGCCCGCTCTATCCAGGACTGGCATGTCCTAGAGGATGTAGAGACGCTGTCCGATCATAGATATATTCGATTTAACGTCTCCACACAGACCTCGGCTAGGCCGGTTCAAGTGGCCCTGGCGAGCATTGGTGATGGTCCGCGTTGGGCATGGAAACGGCTGGACAGGGAGGCTTTTCTCGAGGCGTCTATCGTAAAAGCCTGGCTGGACTTTCCAGACAGGCCAACCAACATCAACGAGGAGGCGGAGTGGTTCCGAGAAAGCATGACGCACATCTGTGATGCTGGCATGCCCCGGGCTCGGCCTTTACCATCCAGACGTCAAGTATACTGGTGGTCACAGTCGATTGCGCAGTTGCGCATTGCTTGTACACAAGTGCGACGAAGATACGTGAGGTTCCGAAGAAGAAGACGCTACCGCCCCGTTACAGCGACGGCAGAACAGGTAGAGGCGGAACTATACAACCGCTATAGAGAGGCGAAAAAAGCACTCCAGCTAGCAATTGTTCAGGCAAAGACCCAGGCCAACAAAGCGCTGCTAGAGACTCTGGATCGGGAGCCGTGGGGACGCCCCTACCTCATGGTACGAGGTAAATTGCGTCGATGGGCTCCCCCTTTATCCCGGAGTCTACAACCACAGCTTCTGGAAGAAGTGGTTTCTGCGTTGTTTCCGTCGAGATCGATGCATACACCACCGGTCATGGCCCCAACTCGCAATCTTTCCGAGGCGGAATTTGATATTGAGAATGACGTGCCCGAAGTGACCCAGCTAGAGTTGAGAGTGGCGGTGTCCCGCATCAGGAACACCGCTCCAGGACCCGACGGCATTTCAGGCCGTGCCTGGACTCTAGCCATTAAGGCTCTTGGGCCCCGACTAGCGAGGCTCTTCACCGCCTGTCTGGAACAGGGCCAATTTCCAAGCCGGTGGAAGACTGGAAAACTGGTCTTACTTAAGAAAGAGGGGCGCCCCGCAGACACACCGTCTGCGTATAGGCCAATCGTGTTGCTGGATGAAGTATGTAAGATCTTTGAGCGAATCATTGTCAGTCGCCTTGTCCAGCACATGACCAGGGTAGGACCGGATCTAGCAGACAACCAATTTGGTTTTCGCCAGGGACGCTCCACTGTGGATGCGATCATGCGCGTAAAGGCCCTCACAGAGGAGGCAGTCGCTCGGGGACAGGTGGTGTTGGCGGTGTCGCTCGACATCGCCAACGCTTTTAACACTCTGCCCTGGAATACCATCCGAGAGGCACTGCGGTACCATGCGGTGCCACGCTACCTACAGCGTATTGTTGGGGCTTACTTGTCCGAAAGGTCTGTGGTGTACCCGGTTCGAGAAGGATGGGGTCGACGAGAAACGACGTGCGGCGTTCCGCAGGGTTCGGTGTTGGGGCCGCTACTGTGGAACGTAGGATACGACTGGGCTCTACGCGGTGTGCTTCTCCACGGAGTCAACGTCATTTGCTACGCTGATGACACGCTAGTTACAGCGCGTGGAAATTCGTACCGTCAAGCAGACATACGTGCAACTGCTGGTGTCGCGCACGTCGTGGGCAGAATACGGCGGCTGGGCTTAGAGGTGGCATTGCACAAGTCTGAAGCCCTATATTTTCATGGGCCGAGAATGAAACCGCCTTCGGGGTCCAGCATCATTGTAGGAGGGGTGTCCATCGCTGTCGAGTCGACGATGAAGTACCTTGGAATCATCC